TAACACAACATCCATTTTGCAACCCATGGATCAAGGAGTAATTTTGACTTTCAAGTCTTATTATTTAAGAAATACATTTTGTAAGGATATAGCTACCATAGATAGTGATTCCTCTGATGGATCTGGTCAAAGTAAATTGAAACCTTCTGTAAAGGATTCCCCATTTGAAATGCCATTGAGAACATTTGTGATTCAAGAGAGGACGTCAAAATATCAACATTAACAGGAGTTTAGAAGAAGTTGATTCAAACTCTCATGGATGACACTGAGAGGTTCAAGACTTCAGTGGAGGAAGTAACTACAAATGTGGTGAAAATAGCAAGAGAACTAGAATTTCACAAGTGGACCTTAAAGATATGATTGAATTGCTGCAATCCCATGATAAAACTTGAATGAGTGAAGAGTTGCTTCTTATGGATGAGCAAAAAAAGGTGGTTTCTTAGAGATGCAATCTACTGGTGAAAATGCTGTGAACATTGTTGAAATTACAACAAAGTATTTAGAATATTACATAAACTTAGTAGATAAAGGAGTGGCAGATTTGAAAGGACTGACTTCAACTTTGATTCTACTGTGGGTAAAATGCTATAAAATAGCATCACACGCTACAGAGAAATCTTTCATGAAAGAAGAGTCAATGTGGTAAACTTCATTGTTGTCTTATTTTAATAAATTGCCACAGCTACTCCAACCTTCAGCAACTACCCCCGACATGAGTCAGCAGCCTTCAATATCAAGGAAAGACCCTTCACAAACAAAGGGATTACAACTCACTGAAGGCTCAGATGATCATTAGCATTTTTCAGCAATATGGTATTTTTGAATTAAGGGATTTACTTTTTTTGACATAATGTTATTGCATACTTAACAGACTATAGTATAAACATAACTTTTATATGCATTGGGAAACCTCAAACGTGTGACTTACTTTATTGTGATATTTGTGTTATTGTGGTGGTCTGGAACTGAATTCACAGTACCACTAAGTCATGCTTGTATAGCATAAATTACTTATGGGATCAGACGTAACACTACCAAAGATAGAAACGGGCAATATACAAAATACTCTTCTTGAAAGGAATTCTCATATAATTACCTTATAACGATGAAAACATAGGGAAGGGAAGAGAGAAAGGAAGATGCACCAAAAACACACAATTCAATTCAGTAACACAGATTTACACTTTATTTTAATTTTGCATCCTGAGATAATAAAATTTTATCTGACAAGTGAACGACGACAGAAGCAGCAGTGAAAGTTTCAGAGAGGCAGGTATCCTTCATTTTGGCACAGCTGTATATAGGTTGAGTTCTTCTAGGGGAGTCATTCCTGGACTCAAGGGAGAAAAATGAATTCATTCCACGGGCTACGTAACAAATACAAGATGCATGAAAGTTCTTGGTTAGGATGGACATATCCACTATTATTCTTTTCTGATAAAGCTGTCTCAACAGGAATCCTCTGGCAAAAAGTAGAAATCCTAGGCTTCTCAACCAGATATTTTGATCAGTGCTCATTTTCTAGCTATTTGGATGTCCTGTTTTTGCAGCCAGACTCGTATTTGTATGTGGTTAGTCCAAGGATGGCAAATTAGCTTGTAGATTACATAATTTCAAACAGTTCTTACTTGTTTCAAAGTCTAGGCATTAAAACAATTTTACACTATTTGCGTACTAGAAAAATGAAAAAATTTAAAAATCAAGCCAAGATAAAAGCAAACAAAGTAAGCAGGAATGAAAGGAACATTTGAGAAATTATTGCCTTGATTCATCATGTTGAGTTTATACACAGAAATACTTTAAGAGACTCAAAAATTGATATTTAGTCCAATGCTAGAACACGACATTATAACACTTTCCACATTTGTAATCCTATATGTGTGTATGTATGAGTTACATGTACACACCTAAATAAATTAGCTCAGTTATATCACCCTGAAACAGAAAAAAAAAAAACTGAAGGCAAATTCTAACCTGACATTATATAGCCCAATATAGCCAACACACATACATACACTCTCTCTCTCTCTAGCATTTCATTATTTAGGGACTAGGTAAGCAATCTGTGGAGAGTGTCAAATAATCTTAGTTCCTTTATAAAAGTGGCTTCCAACATTTTCACCAGAAGAATTCCTTCATTATTCATTTCCCATGTTTTCAGGTATTTACTAAGTTGCACATAATAGCTTTTCTCATTTTTTTATTAATCAAAAGCATACTGCCATTCACAACTTCTGATCAGTGCTGATAAGCAGGGTTGTTAACAGAGAGAATTGAAAGAATATAGGCAAAACGCATGGAAATACAGGCAAAATACATGTCTTAGTTGGCTTGTGCAACAGGATTATGGATAAGTGTATGATTTCTAGTATATTTTTTGAAATATTGAAAAAGGCTCAAGGATACCACCCCCCCGCTATCTTCATTTGCCCCAAGTTGGGAACCACTGGTTTACATCCACCTGCTTTTCCTCCCTAAAGTATTAGCATAACACAAATACCCATGTTTAACACATAGGGGATTAATAATGAAATTTACTACTGAAAAAAACAGATCAACTGCAACAATCATTCTGTAGGATCTCACTGAGAAAGAAAACATAACATGGATTTAAAGAACTCTATTTAGAAATCATACAATTATGATATCCAGTATATCTTTCAGTCATCTTCAAAGCACACTAATATTTGAAAAAAAATCCTCAATTCCCCTGTGAGGTAGGTCCAGATTATTGTCCCCACTTCAACAATGAGGACATGAGGTACAGAGGAATTAAGCAGCAGAGCTAAGAATTAAACCAGAAGTGGCTTGGGTTTGAATTCCATACCACTTTCCTTTCCATCTAATTTTATCAATTTGTTCCCATAGGTCTTTTTGAGGGTATGGAACTTGATAAGACGCTAAAGCAGATGTTGGATAGGATATGAAACCCTTCACATAAATGTCAAAGCGGGTTCTCCCATATTTCCATTATTGTCACAACTATAGCTCTTGCCTGAATGTCGACTGTATAGTCAGATTCCACATAGGCAAAGCACACAGACTTCAGTCCTCAGTTCCTAGGGAAACTACACTCACTCTTATCACGGAGGGACTAAGGTCTATCAGGTATCAGGTCATCTGAGTCCGTGTGGTATTAACACACATCGGCTAGCAGCCAGTCAGCAAATTGAACTTTTACTATGTGCAAGGCACTGTAGGAGTTTCCACTGAGGGGAGGAGATCTGAGAATAATCATTCTGGGATTCTGTAGAGTAAAACTTTCCTAAGGATTCCTAGAATCACAGAATGTTATGTGATCTCTAATTTTCTGTCCAGCCCTAGTTTCAACCCTATCATTTTACAGATGAAGACACTGACATGCAATTTAGGTCACTTGCCTGGGACCCACAATATTAGATCATTTCCTCACACAGTATGACTTTGACGAAGTCCACAGAAAGTGGAACATAATCTCAGGTTGCCATCATCGAAATAAAAAGCCTGGCTCAGAATCAGGTAAGGGAAATTTGGGGCAAGATAAGGTCATTTATATATACATATTTTTTCAATTGTTTTCAGTCCACATATTACATGAATAGGTATTAATAAAACCTATTCCTTTTCTGTGGAAAATTTCCCAATTCACCATTTAAAGGAATCTAATTTGAGAATTGTTACAAAATAGATTTTTCTAAAAAGTAGATTTTCATAGGCATAGGAGGACCTAATTTCAATGAATTTGAACACTTATAATCAAATTAGCAAAAAATATTTTCACTGTGTGAAAGTGCTCCAGTTAATCAGGTGAATATAATTTCTACATCCTCCTAGGTCAATATAGTAAATGCTAATGAAATATTGTTGTGGGCTTTATATTCAAGTAGTAAGGTTTGATATTTTAAGTGGCAGCTTACTTGTAAACAAAATAAAAACACTAATTATTTTTTAAAACCCTATTTGTTCAAAGGCTTACAAATGTTATTAAACTTTACTCAACTTATCAAAAAACAAGAATAAATTTCATTAAAAATGGCAAAATAATAAATATTAACACAGTTGGATTAACTGCTCAGTGTTCACACATCATAATATGAATATCATGTGTGTTAAATACTTAAGTGGGTTTTGGTAGGGCTTCAAAGACTACTGTTCTTCCAGAATCACGTTAAATTACATGTTTACTAGCATCAGAATTATATTGATTTTAAGTGACTGATAGTCCTGTTTTGTAATATTTTGTCACTAATATATCACATGATTAGGGGAAAACGAGGAAACAGGCCTTGTATAATAAAAGGAAAATAATACATTAGTAAAATATTCTTTTACCTAGTTGAAAAGGATGATTCCTAATGTAATGATTGACCAATTCATTTATTCTGCTTCCTTCAGCATAATATGCTATCTTTGTTCAAAAAAGACAAGGCACTTCTCCATCTTCTTCTAAAGTTTGACTATAATGGTCTCTTTTCTAAATTAACAGAAGGGTTAGGAGAGAACAAAGAGTAGAGACATATCTGGGACGGAGTTAACTCTGTAAATGATACTTGCCCATATTTGTCGTTAATAATACACATGCTACTGGTCTTTTGGACAAGCTTAGAAATTACCAGTTGGACCAATTTATTAAGCAAGAATCTTGGGCCAAATGAGAAGCACTGGAACATTAATGTAAAAAAAAACAGTTTTAACTTGTAACCTCGAAGCATTGTGAGATTTATATACTTTGGCAAATACATGTTATTTTTCTCTGGAAACTACCATGACAGGTTTCATAAAGGAATATAATGTAATAAAGAAATTCAAAAATACTTTCTTCAATCTAAAAACAACTTTCACAAAAATATTAACCCAATGGAAAAACACAAATATGTTCTATCTTAAGGATAAAAGAAAAAAGGCTTGATAAGGAAGGAATTAATCACCACAGTGCGCCCTGTCATTTTAGCATTCACTGTAGCCAATTTCATTGAAAACAACCCCCTAAAACACTCCAAAATACCCAATTGTGAATCAGCCCCCCTGTAAGGAAAAACAGTTTGAAAAAGCAGTCACATAAGAGAGAAAAAAAAGAAAATTGGGTGTTTTCTGGGTAGTTCAAGAAACTTCGATGAGTTGACCAGCATAATAAACAATGAAACGATAAATTTAAGAGTGATTAGACTAGGCTTTAAAAGTAAGTTTACACATGCTGGCAAATGGTTTTTACGACATATACTACTGTGAGTTGAATTATACTCTGTCACCTCCAGATACACTCTATTCCCATCTCAGTATTTGTTTCATGGAAACGATTTACCATTTCCTATTGTTCTTTGAGCAAAACCAAGTATGATTTTATACATGGCAGAAAAAGCTACTATGACCACCATATGGTCAAATTCAAAGGTTACAGAAAAAAAGATTTTTAAGGATTGACACTTGAAAGCAATTATTCTATCAATAATAATTAGACATTTTGTATTAAGCTGGAAATCAATTTTGGTATTAAAATGTCACAGTCTGAAGCATAAATTTGATGACATTAGCTGGAAAATAAACCACGGATACAATTTTTCCCTGACCTTAGCTATAAAACAAGACATTTGGTATGCATTTTCAGAGGTTTCCACCTTGTCTATAAAAATACACCTTCAATTTTGCAGCAGGCAGATACATGGTATTTGCAGGCATATACAACACATTAAAAATTAGAGATCTGGGGTGGCTGAGTGGCACAGAGGTAATGGGGCTCTTTAGAGGGAGGGGGAAAAGTATGCAAACAATTATAGTCACATATCAAACAGTGTCTCCTCTTCCCCTCTTTTTCTTAACTGGATTGTGGGTTTCAAATTAGGCATAAATTTTAAAAGTGGTATAAAAAGGCTAGACCTTGTATGAAGAAATGATTGTTCTCTTTACTGGGATGAATGCTTGCCTAAAAAACTTACTAAAAGCAATTAAGAGTAAGATGACAAATAAAATATTCAGTCCCAGACACTTTTAATTTATTTTTAGTACTATGAATTACAAATAATGCCTACAGAGGCATACGTTTGCAGTTGAATTAATGTGATATAAAGCTTTTATTATACTAAAATTTCAAATTCTAGTAGACTTATAGTGCTTTTTCACTCATCTTAGTTGTGAAGAGAAACAGAGAAATAGGCACCAATGAAATGGCTACATGTGTGGTGGATTTATGAACTAAAAGACTTTTGTCTAAACACTTGGTCTTTTCTCATTAACAATATCCAAATGTTTTTAAAAGATCCTCAAGAAGAGGATTAAGAATATTTTATCAATTATGAATCGGCTACCATATATTCTTTAGGTACAACTTCTCAGTTAGTTCTCCCTCTTTCCCAAAGTAGAATATCAGAACTCCAGAAAGCGGTTAGTAGGGGCTTTCATGGATACCTCCCAAGATGTCTGAAATCTCAAAATACTCCTTTAAGGTCATAATTGTGAGTATTTTCAAATGAGGGAAAGGCTACATAAAGGGAAATAAATGAAGAATGGTGAGGCTGTGAAATGTGTCAGATGTCAAAAAAATTCTTTTAGCAGTGGGAGTGGAGAATTAAATGAAATGGAAATAATAAGGTTCTTGGTTTCAGGTGCAATGCAGAATATCTGAGATAATGATTTCAATGTTAATCCACTTGTTACAAAGGGCCACCCTGCCCTACACCTGAAATTCTTAACATACTTATTATGGCTTTGCCATACAACAGCATGTTAACAGTCTCTACATTCAAAAGGATACTTGCAAAATTCATTCATATTCAAATCTATGCAGAATTGTTGGCAATACAGTAAAAGGAATATTACATTCCATAGACCATGGCATACCACGTTTTACATTATGCAAAGAGACACTATTTACAAGTCTTTAGGAGTTAAATATTTTATCCACTAACATAAGTGATAATTTAGCAAAGTGCAGGACAAAACCAGTGCTATTAATTGCATGTCCTTTAAAGCAGAGTAAAACCATTTCTAAAAGCTACCAAAAGCTTATTTAAGTGTGTCCAGTAAGGGATTACAGAGCATCAAGTAGCCTAGAAAAATGATGCATATTTAGAAACAGTGCGTATGAAAATTATAAGGCAGCATGCTCAGAACAAGTTTTTGTTTTTTAAACACCAGCACTGATGTTTTATCTTTAATGGCAACTATCTATATACGTATATGCACACGTGTGTGTGTATTTAAAATTTGAGAGTGCAAAACACAAGCCTCATTTAACAACAAAAAAAGATGTGCAAATTTTCTTCATAAACCAACACAAATAAAAGAGCAAGGAGAATATTCTACCATTATAAACAGTAAATTGAACACAGCAAAGGAGACCATCTTCATTCCAAAATCATCTACAAGGCACTAAGGGTAGGAAATGACAGATAACACAGAAGTGACTGGATAAAACTCTTCAGTCAGGTCGGAATATGGGATATTTTGGTAAGAATTCTATTAGTATTACCTGTAAAATAAAAATAAGAATATATTGACAAGATATTTTTCATTTATTATAATATATATAACCCAGGAAGTCTGTTATCATTTTCACAGGACTATATTTTGATCCTGCACTATAAAAAGTGAAATGCACGAAATAGAATAATGTAAAGAACTTAAACTACAAGTTGTTGTTAAATCATCAATTTAAAAATTAGGCTGGCAAACAAAACTACTTACTGTAGCTAATAGTTTTTATTACCTAATTTACGATAACTATTTGTTTAGGTTCAGAGAAGCAAACTCTGTTATATTATTATGTCCTTCCCCTATTCCCCCCAAAGTTGAAGAGATTACAACTAGGCTATACAGATTTTAAAAACACTCTTACATTATATCTATATATTTTTTTCAATTAAAGCTGCTATTAGTTGAGGATTACTATCTTTTACAAGTTGTTTGTAAAAAATAACAAAGTACCCAAATAGACTGATTAAAACATTTTGATTATAGAAATGTTTGGAAATATAATAAAAACCTAAGATGGTTTTGAATGTTTTATCTACAGTAGATTTTAGATTTGTAGTCATTTGCACATTTTCCCCAAAACTATGCGAAGTGGAGATAAATATCATAATAATACTTATTTATGAAATGCAAATGGAATGTTTACTGTTAAATATATACTACAAGTCAACAACTTGAAGCTTAGATACATTTAATATTCTTTTGGATGTTAATGATGCTAAATTGATCATAAGGGCTATATGTGAATTATGTTTTATGACTATGATTTTAATAGCTTTCAGTAAAAAAAGTACTCAAACATATAGCTTTGTCACTAAAAGTTAAATGTTAGCCAAAAAAAGCCAGAAATATGAATTTGGAATTAAGAAGTCAACTCATATTTTATGCAAGTTTTGAAAAGATTATATTTAGAAATATTTTGTTCAATAGCAGCTGTCCCCACCACATGCTATGGTTTATACCTATGTTAAAAGAAGACTAAGTTTGCACAATGTTTTCATTTACATATACTAGCTGAAACTTTTCTAAGATCCAAATAATTGCTAGCTTTCAAGATATTTTAGGTTGGCTACAAAACTAAAGAAGACGGAAGGAAACTCATATGTTCCAACTGACAAAAGTTCAGGCTGAGGAGAAAAAAGGCAGAAAGAATAGCTGATAAATGAAAAATGGTAAAATGTTACATTTAGGATTAGTCCCAAAAATGTAATTAAAAACAACTTCATACTTACATACTCCATCATATTGCTAGTTTCGCATTTCCTTTTAGTCAACTTCCAGTGCAAAGCAAGCTAAGAAAGTACAGTTTTGTTAAGAATTTTTATATCAACTTAAACTAATCACAACTATACATTTGAATAAATCACCAAAAATCCAGGAGTAAGTATATGATACAAAACATAGCACTTAAAAATATGTCACAGAAATAGATATTAAAAATTGAATACTAGTTCTCTAATCCATTCCTTTGCGGCCTAAAAAATTCACATTTAGTACTTATTTTTTCAATTTAATAATACAAATATATGAATGCAGCAGTTATTTGAGGAAAATTTCTTACCTTGTGATATAATCTGTTATTTTCCCATTCTAATAACTTCTGAATTGATCTTCTGGTCTAAGAAAAAGGACCAAGACTTTGTTACAAGATGAACTAGAGAACTTTTGTAAGCTATGTGTATCTATATTTTTCTGTTTACTTGTAAAATCCCATTACTTTCTCCTCTTGTTTTTCTACTAGAAATCAGAAAAAAAGCAACGTAATTGACAGAAATTGTAAAAAGAGGAGTAAGATTTTGGGTGATTATTACACAGTTACAATAAGATTATTTATCAATCAGATTTCTATGTATGCTTTCCAAGATCAAATATGTATGAATTGCTCTGTATTGTGAGGCCACTGACTGGACTATTGTGAAAATCTTACCAATACTGCTAACTTGAAATAGTAGTCTACTTATGGATCTAATCTAGGTTTTCATGTACACAGGATTATTTTAAATAACCACTAAATGCCAAGCTAATATGATTCCTCATAGAAAATTTCCTACCATAGCTCCTAGCACAACACCTGACATATAGCAGTCAGTCAAGGTCTATATGCTGCATAAAGCAAGCCAACACATATCAGAATTTACACTGAAAAGAACATGTTAAAAAAGCCAGTAGGATGTAAACAGATGGAAAACCATACCATGCTCATTGATCGGCAGATTCAACATTGTTAAAATGTCTACACTACCCAAAGTGATCACAGATTCAATGCAATCTCTATCAAAATACCAACATCATTTTTTGCAGATCTAGAAAAAATAATTCTACGCTTTGTATGGAACCAGAGAAGACCCCGTACAGCAAAAGCAAGTTTTTTTTTTGTTTTTTTTTTTTTTTTTGAGACAGAGTCTCACTGTGTTGCCCGGGCTAGAGTGCCGTGGCGTCATCATAGCTCACAGCAACCTCAAACTCCTAGGCTCAAGCGATCCTCCTGCCTCAGCCTCCCGAGTAGCTGGGACTACAGGCACACGCCACCATGCCCGGCTAATTTTTTCTATATATTTTTAGTTGTCTGATTAATTTCTTTCTATTTTTTAGTAGAGACGGGGTCTCGCTCTTGCTCAGGCTGGTTTCGAACTCCTGAGCTCAAGCAATCCGCCCGCCTCGGCCTCCCAGAGTGCTAGGATTACAGGCGTGAGCAACCACGCCCAGCCCAAAAGCAAGTTTTGACAAGATTACATTTGGAAATAAATCGGGTGGCAACAATTTACCAGACTTCAAGCTATACTATAAAGCTATAGTAACCAAAACAGCATGGTACTAACACAAGAACAATGAAACAATGAGAACCCAGATATAAAACCATCCTCATATTTCCACCTGATCTTCGACAAAGCAGACAAAAACATATACTGGGGAAAAGAGTCCTTATTTAATAAATGGTGCTGGGAAAATTGGATAGCCACATGTAGAAAACTGAAGCAGGATCCACACCTCACCTCTCACAAAAATCAGCTCACGATGGATGATAGACTTAAACCTAAGGCATGAAACTATAAGAATTCTAGAAGAAAATGTTGGAAAAACTCTTATAGACATCGGCCTAAGGAAAGAATTTATGAAGAAGACCCCCAAAGGCAATCACAACAATAACAAAAAAACAAATAAATGGGACCTGACCAAATTAAAAAGCTATGCACAGCCAAGGAAACTATCATGAGAGCAAACAGACAACCTACAGAATGGGAGAAAATATTCATATACTACACATCTGATAAAGGGCTGAGAACTAGAATCTATATAGAACTCAGGAAAATCAGCAAGAAAAAATCAAACAACTCCATTAAAAAGTGGCCAAAGGACATGGACAGAAAGTTTTCAAAAGAAGACAGACTAATGGCTAACAAACATATGAAAAAATGCTCAACATCTTTAATCATCAGGAAAATGCAAATCAAAACCACAGTGAGATATCACTTAACTCCAGTGAGAACGGCTTTTATCAAAAAGTCCCCAAATGATAAATGTTGGTGTGGATGCGGAGACATACGAACACTCATACACTGCTGGTGGGATTGCCAGCTAGTACAACCTCTGTGGAAAACAATATGGAGATATCTCAAAGAAATACAAGTAGAACTACCATTTGATCCTGCAATCCCATTACTGGGCATCTACCCAAAGGAAAAAAAGACATTCTATATAAAAAAAAATCTTCACTAGAATATTTATAGCAGCAAAATCTACAATTGCAAAGATTTGGAAACAACCCAAGTCCCCATCAATACATGATTGGATTAATAAAATGTGGTATACGTGTACCACGGAGTACTACTCAGCCACAAAAAACAATGGTGAACTAGCACCTCTTGTATTATCTTGGATAGAGCTGGAGCCCATTCTATTAAGTGAAGTATCACAAGAATGGAAAAACAAGCATCACATGTACTCACCATCAAATTGGTATTAATTGATCAACACTTATGTGTACATATAGTAGTAATATTCATCAGGTGTTGGGCAGGTGGGGGGAGGAGGGGATGGGTATATTCACACCTAATGGGTGTGGTGCACGCCATCTAGGGGATGGACACACTTGAAGCTCTGACTTGGGCGTGGCAAAGGCAATATATGTAACCTAAACATTTGTACCCCCATAATATGCTGAAATGAAAAATTAAAAAAAAAGGACAAAGCTAGAGGCTTTGAAATCACTTCCTGATTTCAAACTATATTTCAAAGCTATAATATTCAAAACAGTATGGTGTGAACATAAAAACAAATAGATCAACGGAAGAGTCCAGAAATAAACCCATGCATATATGATCAACTAATTTTTGAAAAGGGCACCAAGTATACACAATGGAGAAAGGACAATCTCTTCAATAAATGGTCTTGGGAAACTGGATATCTACTTGTAAAAGAATGAAAGTGGACCCTTATCTTACACCACACAGAAATTAACTGAGAATGGCTTGAAGACTTAAACATAAAACCTGAAACAGTAAAACTCCTAAAAGAAAACATAGGGAATAAACTCATAGACATTGCTCTTAGCAATGATTTTGTGGATATGACATCAAAAGCAGAGGCAACAAAGGCAAAAATAAGTCAGATAACATCAAAGTAACAAAGCTTCTGCACAGCCAAGGAGACAATCAGCAAAATAAAAATGGCAAACTTATGGAATATGAGAATGTATATGCAAACCTTATATCTGTATGAGGTTAATATTCAAAATTTATAAAAAAACTTTTACAACTGAATAGCAACAACAACAAAACAAATAACAAAACAAATCAAAAATGAGCAAAGATCTGAATAAGACATTTTTTTCCAAAGAAGACATACAAATAGACAACAGGTATATAAAACATCACTATTCATCAGGGTAATGCAAATCAAAACTACAGTGATATAATATCTGACACCTCTTAGGATGCTCATTATTAAAAAAAGAAATCTAGTGTTGGTGAGCATGTAGAGGAAAATGAACCCTTGTATTCTGTTGATAGGAACTTAAACTGGTAGATTTACTTGGTAGAATAGTATGGAGGTTCCTCAAAAATTAAAAATAGAATTACAACATGATCCAGCAACCCCACTTCTGGTTATATATTCAAAGGAATTAAAATCAGGATCTTGAAGATATATCTGTACTCACATGTTCACAGCATTATTCACAATAGCCAAGATATAGAAATAACCTAAATGTCCATCAACACACAAATGAATAGAGAAATAATGATATATACACACAACGGTATATTATTCAGCAGAAAAAAGAATAAGATTATGCTATTTATGATAACATGTAGGGACCTGAAGGGCGTTATGTTAAGTGAAGTAAGCCAGACATAAAAAGACACATAATATATGATACCACATGTAGAATCTAAAATAGTTGAACTTATAGAAGCAGAGAGTACTGTAGAATGTGGTTGCCAGGAGCTGGGGAAAGGGGAATATAAGTAGTTGATGGTTAAAGAGTACAAAGTTTCAGTTATGCAAGATAAATAAATTCTGCAGCTGTACTATGCAGCATAGTGCCTACAGGTGACAATACTGTATTGAATACTTAAAATTGCTAAAAGTGTACATCTTATATTAAGTATTCTTACCAAGAAAATACCAATAATGATAATAATGATAATAAAGGTGGTAAGACAAATCTTTGGGAGGTGATGGATATATTTATGACCTTGATGATAGTGATGGTTTTTCAGGGTGTATATTTATTCCAAAACTCATTGAGATGTATACATGAAATATGTACAGTGGAACGGACTGCATGCTTATGTTCCCCCCAAATTCATAATTGAAATCCTAATTCTCAAGGTGATGGTGTTAGGATGTGAGGCTGCTGAGAGATGATTAGATCATGGGATTAGTTATAAAAGATAACCCAGATAGCTAGCTAGCCCCTTCCACCATATGAGGGCACAGTGAGTAGGCTCCATGTATGAACCAGGGAGTGGCCCCTCACCAGACAACAAATCTATTGGCAGCTTGATCATGGAACTGAACTGTGAGAAATAAATTTCTGTTGGTTTTAAGCAACCCAGTTTATGGTATTTTGTTATAGGAGCCTGAACAAACTAAGATATACAGCTTTTTATATGAGGGCTGCCCAGAAAGTATCCAGCCATTGTTAAAATAACAAGAATGGTTTGTGTGACATCAATGTAACCTGGCAGCCAAGGAGAGTGGACTATAATGCACATGCGTGAACAATGATGACTTCACTGTACTAGTCAGTGGGGTTCTAGATGCCACTGAGTGAGCACGTGTACTGTGTGGCCATCACATTCAAAATGACTGAGTGAGTAGAGCAATGAATCTGTATCAAATTTTGCATTAAGCTCGAACATTCCTCCACAGAAACTATTCGGATGATTCAGGCTTTCAGGGACAATGCAATGAGTGTGATGCAAATAAAAGTGTGGCACAAACACTTCAAAGATGGTCGAGAATCTGTTGAAAGTGACCCACATTCTGGAAGGCCTGCAACAAGCAGAACACATGAGAATGTTGAATGTGTACAGGTTAGGTTAAGAGGCGCTGGGAGAACTGTGTGAGGTCCGAAGGTGCCTGCTTTGAAGGGACTGAGGTGTCATTGTCCTA